ACAGCCATGAATGGATCCAGTGAAGTCTGAGAAGACAAAGTCAGTGAAACTCCTCATAGCAGCAAACTTTATGCCCTGTGGTCAACTAAACTAATACTTTTAAAACCAAACCCACTCAGGTATGCCACTGGAACAGAGAAGATTTTGTGATGCTAGATCTGCTATATTTGTATAATTTTATATAATTTATATATATTTTTGCTGTAAATACCTTTATTTCAATTACATTTAAAATGATGTTATAGGAAAAAAAAGAGACTCAATGGAGATGGTTTATGCTAGACTTCAATTCAGAACATGTTTTATGCCAGCATTTTGATCCTCTTTAGGGACAAAGTATATAAATGACACACTCTAGCCATCCTAATTTATAGCATCAGAAGCCAGGTCCTAAGTTTCCACTAAGCTGCAGGGCCGCACACTTGCCTATTTAGCACTGTGCAGGTACTCAAGACTCTATCCAGGAACCTACTTCAGTTAGACGAGGGCTGCCCCACTCCTGCCCCCAGCCTAGCCTGGCTTCTAATATGCCATTGCTATGGGGGCGAGTGAGCGTTCTGAAGCAAAAACCAGATGAAACCCAGTCATAGCTGTGGAGCGCCAAACCACCTTCAACTCAAACCTGCTGGAACAGGGAAGAGACACCTATCCTGCCACTTCAGCTGCTGAGCTACCATAGTAGGGAGAGAGGCCTTCCCTCGCTAGCCCTAGTGTTGCTGCAAGGAGAGAAAGATGGGGGAGTCCTCTCTCCTTTTGGTAGTCCTAGAGCATACTCCTTCACCCCAAACCCCTCTGCCCATCCCCACCCTATAGACTGCACCCTCTGTCCCAGCCCTGAGCCTCTTATTCCCAGTCCCACCCCAGAGCCAGAGCCACCAGCTACAGCCCTCCCCCTCCTGTGCCCCAATCCTCTGCCTCAGGTCAAGGCCCCTCCCACACTCAGAACCCCTTGACCTCACCCCTGCCACAAGACTTTCATTATATGCACCAATATGAAGGTGCTGTTACACACCACCTCCATATTGGTGCAATAACAAAATTAATTCTGCTGAGGGGGTGGGGAAAATTAGAGGGAACACTGACAGTGGGGGACTCTGCCATTCCTGACTGTCCCAGGCTGAAGTCACGGAGACATGACTTCTGCGACCTTTGAGACAAAATTGTAGCCTTAATCATGCACTCGTACTTATCTCTGACCAACCAGTATCTAATCAGAAACTCCAGAGTATTTCTTAGTAGAGATTAGTCTTTTTACTCAACTTTTACAACCTTGACAACTTGTCAGTCAATGTTTGATGACAATTGCAGGTGTACTCACATGGACTGCTCCTGTTAGTGGTCTGCCACTACTTAGTCACTACTCAGTCCTATCATGATTTAAAAGAGGAAACAACAGCTAACCTAGCTAGCTAGTGGGGAAAAAATATAAATTGCTTATTTTACGAGCTAAATTATGAAATGATAACTCAGGAAGTTTTCTCACATTGGTGAGAGATGACTAAGGGGGAAAACAGGTGCACATAGCTAGTGTAAGTGAATTTATTTGAGAATACAATCCAAAGAATGCAAAGGAGGAATGTCAACAGATTTTTAAGAAGAGATTGAAACAGACCATGCTCCTTTGTTGAATTTTGGGATCTTTGGGATCTTGGATGAGGACATGAAGATTTAGGTGACCACAAGGAATCACTTGTTCTAATTCATGTTCACTAACATTTGTTATTCAGCAAAATAAGTTGAATTGAGCCTGCTTCCTTTTTGACTACTGTTTTATTTACATTTTGTATAGGTATCCAAATGTCCTGGGATATGAGCGAGGAGAAATTCACCAAATTGTTGCTACACATTTTTAAGTGGTAATGGCTGCTTGGGAGATTGAAATATTGTTACATTCAAACAGATGCATTCACTGAACTTTTTCCTAGACAAGGGAGTTTATTTGGGTGGTATTTCTTTCATGGGCTGCTCTCTCAGGCTACATTTAGGGATGCAAATCAAGCATATCGAAATTGCTAATGAAGCAGGGATTTAAATATCCCGTGCTTCATTAGCATAAACATGGCTGCTGCTTTTTTTCTAAATGGAGTTTTTAAAAAAAAAACAGTGGTCTAGATGCAGATCTATCGAAAATAAACCCTTTTTAGACAGATCTGCATTCCTCAAAAAATGAGGTTTACAGGATCTGTCGAAAAAGGGTTTATTTTCGATAGATCTGCATCTAGACCACTGTTTTTTTTTTAAAAACTCCATTTAGAAAAAAAGCAGCAGCCATGTTTATGCTAATGAAGCACGGGATATTTAAATCCCTGCTTCATTAGCAATTTCGATGTGCCTAATCTACATCTCTGTCGAGAGAGAGGTGTAGTCTAGACATGCCCTCAGATACTTCACTGACTGCTGCAGATGGAGGAGATGTGGGGTATTTCAGAGAGAAGAATTTTGCTTCGCCTCTTCACCTTCCTTGGTTTTGTAAGACCATTCACTTTCTTTTTAATTTATGGGTTTTTTAATCTCCTTTTTGTGGTAGTATTAATTAGGGAGTCTCAAATAAGAAAAAATTTAAAAAGGTCTGGCACAATTAACAGCATCCCTTCACTGACCTTATGTCAACTCCAAACTGATATAGAGCCCCAGAAAAGCAGTTAGAAACTTTGAGTTTCTCCTCAGATTTAAAACAAAGATGATTTCCGTCAGAATTAATAAGTGGAAAATTAAATTTGGTCCTGGATTACAAATGTTTATATGTGAAATGTTCACATTTCAATTCAAAATTCTTGGGTGTGTTCGTTAATCCTTCACAATAGGGCCTAATGATAATAGAGTCAAGAAGCATGTCAATAACTCCAGCACAGCAAATGTGATGTTAAGAGTAAGCAGCATTCCTTCTCTTTGGGTACACCTACACAGCAGCATTATCTAATATATAAAGGAGAATGTTTGTAAGTTTGTGCGCTAATAACTTGGACACTATAAGAGCTACCACAACCAAACTTTGCATGGGATAACCTTTCCTCCAGGAGAAGGTTTTAAGGTACTTTTGGACCCAATTGGGCCAGAGCTCAAGCTGTAAAAATAAAGTAACCTGCCACACTGTGCTGCAGGGGCTGCCCCACCCACGCTAGGTCCCGTGCCCGCCACCTGCGGCCCCCAGCACCATCCAGGACTTGCCCCCTCCTATCCACAAGGTTACATAAGTGACCCT